TGTGAGATAAGTGATCTGGTGAAGCCCAGATCCCAAATCTGAACCTCAGCGCACCAATGAGCTGCTCAGTTCGAGGATTCTTCCTGGGGCGTCTCCCCTGGGGAAGCAGGGCTTAAAAGGTAGGAGCTTAATAAACATAGTGAAGGTGTTCTAAAGATACCAAGCTGTCACTAGCTGTGACAAATGTCCACCAAGTCATCAAAAGCCCTCAATGCAAGCCTTTCCCTGAAGGCACTCCCCAAACACAGACTTGGCGAGAACAGCTTCCAAATTTGTCCTCGAGGATCTCAAGGATGTACTCAGTCTCTCGCCACTGCTGCATATTCATGCCGTTTTCTCCACTCAATTACCATAGCAGATATTTGCATTTGGTGCATATGTGCCTTTTCTGTTGCTCTCAGCACCATCATTTCTGCTGAGCCTTAAAAATTCTTGTTTCTTTGTCCTCTCACCTCCTACAACTTTTTACATCTCACATATGTAGATATAAAAATATTTTCTGAAGTTATAGGTGAGATGAAATATATGCTAGGGGGAAATCAGTGGAGAGTTTACAGATTCCCTTAGTACAAAGACACCATAGAGACATTGTGCCCAGATGGGTTGGGGCAGGAACTGTAGGGAGATATTTGCAATGCTATACCAACTTACAATATAGTTATTAAAGAGCAAGAGGTGTGTAAGCCATAGAATTACTTAAGCTGGCAGGGGCACAAACAAGTGCTTACATATGATAGCAGCATTTAGAAAGCAATTTGGATCATTAGAGGGAAGCCATGTAGGTTTCCAGGGAACAGTTTCTCCATTCTACTGTGCAACCTCTACTTTGTCCTTAGCTTTACCGATACAAGAGAATTTCATGGTGTTCCAATGTGTGACTAATAATGGAATTTATAGAGAACCAGACAGTGCAGTTTCCATCTTAAAACCATCACCTGAATTCATCATTTGCATTTAAAGAAATACAAATTGGTGGCTTAGAGCACGGTGTACTGTAGAAGTTAATGTTGCCTGTCTTCAGAATTTCTCAAGTGGCCTTCTAAATGAGCCTCTTCGTCCCCAATATAGTGATCCAGGGAAGAGCAGCTGTGGGTTGTATCATAATTTTAAACTCACTGACTCCAAAGCAATTGCCCTAATATTCATTTCAACATATGAATGGAACCATCTAGGAGTTTATCTCATTGGAGTGTGCACAACTATCAAATGCTTGTAGGGACTTGTTGTAGACTGCCCTGGTGCTATTTGCATTTTGATGCTAATTCTGCTTCCTCAAGAGGACTGGGTCAGGTACCCAGGTGTCTTCATGTGAACCTTCTCCCCATTTTAACTGGTCAAATAAAGGCTAGAGCCTGTGGTTGGGCAGTGGAAGGGAATGGCGGGGCTGGAGGTTTTAGAGAGGGAGAGAGAGGAAGGTGGAAGAGGAGGCGAGGAGATAAAGGAGACAGAAAGATGGAGCAGAACAATGTGGCCTGGAGGAGCTGGAGGCAGCGAGGGATCTCATAGCTGGGGAGTAGAGTAGTGTAGGGTAGAGCTGCCCACTCTAGGCGTGCAGCTTAACAGCTATTATAACTGCACGGGTTTATGGGGGTTGGAGAGTCACCACAACAGGGACTGGGAAATGTTTTGAATGTATTCTGATTTATTTGTTTAGTTATAATATATTTTTGGATCTGGAAAATGTGGACTTCATGAAAGTATCTATGTGATTTCTGAAGATAAAACTATTACAGACAAGAGACCATTACAGGGAGCCGTAACCAATCAAAATGCAGAGTTGTGGGTTAAGTTCTAACTGATACACCACAACTCCCACATGTAAGGCGCAGCGATCTCTGAAGAAGAAATACAAAGATTGTAAGCTGTGAGACTGTGTCTCCTGGGAATGTCAGAGCTATGCCCATGAAGTCTCATCAACATGGCCACCAAAACATAACATACATGAGGGTGACACCAGCAGACATGCTCACACAGAAGTGGGGAAGCTCAGGCAGTCTCAACCTTAGACAAAGAACTACAGGCAACTAAGGAAAGCTGAGAGCAGGGGAAATAGTCTTCTCCAGGGAAGAACACACCAATTAGTCATCTAATGCCAAGATGTCAGCCCTGAACATGCATACATACAAGTAATATTATACAGATTGAACAGGTTTCATTATGTATTTAGTAATATTTGTATATTGCTAATAATATATATAACATGTATGTACTATGTATTGCATTGCATATATTCTTCTATGCACATATATGTAATAGCAATTTTAAAAAAGAGGCCACGAATTTGAAAGAGAGTAAGGGAAGTGGAAATATGGGAGGATTTAAAGGGAAGAAAGGGAATGAAATGATGTAATCATAATTTCAAAAGCCAAACAAATAAACCTTAAAAAAAAAATAAGAAAAGAAAATGCTAAGAACAATGGCTGACGACAGGGTACCCACTCACCAATTTACACTTAAGGATGTTCAGTCCGTGTTGGGTGCTCAGAAGAGCAAACATGTCTCATTGTTTTTGTGCCTGATGTGACATGTAGACTATGATGTCAGACTGCTGTCATTACCTCTATAGTAGAACATATGATTTATGGGAATTGACACATTTGGGCTTTTTCAGAAAAGCATTTGATTCTAACTACAGTCTAGATATAAACCTAATACAAGTCAAGCATTCCTAAGGCAGAGGTAGAGAACATAAAGGTTTGAAAATTCCAAACATAAAGAATGTTGACAGGATATCACAAGTAGAACATTCCTCACCTGGCCACATGGGATGAGGTGCAATAAAAATTATATAAAATAATCTTGAGACTGGTGTGTAGGATATACACATATTAATATAGTAGATGAAGTTCCTATTCAGATATAGGGTCTATACCTAAGGAATCACAAATAATCTAAAATCTGAAAAAAAATCTAGTATCAGATATACTTCTGATCCCAAAAATGTCATATAAAGTACAGCAACCTGTGTATCCAAGGACAAAGGCCCTCCATGCGGTCTACACTGAGAAGAGGACTGGCAGAGTCTGAGATTTTACAAGTGAGGCCAAGCTGAAAGCTGACACAATAGTGCCCCACTGTTCAAAGTTCTACTTTCCTAGATCTCTTGTAGGGTCTATTTCTCTACTGATCGACTCTTAAACTGTTGGAATGTAGTTCTAAATGAGAATATTTCCCATACAGGTTCCCTTCATGAAACTGACCACCCACAAGTGAAACAGAAGGGGACATCATCCAGATACCTAGGCATCTAATGTCATCAGGGAGAATGATATGACCCAGCCCAGCAGCCAAAAGACTGGCAGTGTGTCAGGGCAGATGCCAAAGAAAACTGCCCTAGGCTCCTTGAAACCACCTGGCCAGACTGGGAAGTGAGGCTCAGAACCTAACTGGTTTGCTCAAGAATTCCGTCAGAGAAGCCCAAGTCTAGAGCAACGTTTGCTTCCTGGTCCAGTGTTCTGTGAGCAGGGTCACATAGAGTCCACTGACAAGGATCAGAATCATTAGATATCTAGATGTCATTCCTTTATAATATCAGCTGACCACTCTCATGTTTGTAGAAATTTAGAACCAGGTTAGTGTGCGTGTGTGTATATGTGTGTATGACTGTGTGTGCATGACTGTGTATGTCTGTGTATATGTGTGTGACTGTGTGTGTGATTACGTGTGTGTGACTGTGTGTGTGTGTGTGTAACTGTGTGTGTGTGACTATGTGTGTGTGTGTGACTGTCTGTGTGTGACTGTGTGTATATGTGTGACTGTGTATGTATGATTGTATAAGTCTGTGTATATGTGTGTGACTGTGTGTGTGACTGTGTGTGTGACTGTGTGTATATGTGTGTGTGACTGTGTATGATTGTGTAGGTCTGTGTATGTGTGTGTGACTGTGTGTGTCTTTGTGTGTTTGTGGTGTGTGTGTGGGGGGTTCAAGGACTTTCTCTTTATTACTCATCTTTAATTTCTGAAATACTGTATTTGGTAAATACGCCATTGTGGGAAATGTCATCTTTTAAGTACAATAAATTTGACTTTAAATTCAGCACTCTTTTGTTTTATATCCTTGGCCATTTCAGCATAAAGTTCCCCCCGTGTCCTAACCTAGAAAATACTAATTACTTCCTACTAGAACCACTTAGGGAAGAGATTTAATTGTGTGCCCAAATCACCTGGCACCTTAGTCCAGGTCTTCATGGGTATTTAACAACAGAAACTGACAGGCAACTAAAGTTAACAGAGAGACAATCGGGGTACTACATCTTTCAAGCTCCTTAGAATGCGGGTAAGTCCTTCAGGAGAAGATACGGACTGGTGCTAAAATATGATGATCTGAAATTGGTCACGTGGATTAGGGGAGAGTCAAAGTAACAATGGAGCCCTGGGGCCACTGGGCTGTGGTGCAGGTCCAAATTCCTATCAGCAGTGTGGCTTTGTCTACGGCACACAACCCCTGGAGTGGGTTTCCTCCTTTGAAAAACAAGGACAGGCCTAAGCATCTTTGCTTCTTTCCTTTAGGGTTGCCCAAGAAAAGCTGTGATGATTCCACTACTAAAAGGGGGTTCCTGTCGGCAGCTCACAAGAGAGTTGTGGCTAGCCACTCACAGGGAGTTTATGCACAGCCACTCAGAGGGGATTCATGATTCGTGGCAAGCTTCTTAGAAGGGGTTCATGGCTCGTGGCCAGCTTCTTAGAGAGGGTTCACAGCCGGTAGCTAGCAGATGTACAAACGTAGATTGCTCTCTTCATATTTGCCACTCTTGACACAGGATTAGTTATTTTGCAGACACCACTTGGGTTGTCTTTGAGTTTTCTGTTCTGCTGTTACTTGTGTCTGAGGTTGACTGCTTGGAAATCATGCAACAGTCTAAAGTCAACCGTGGTGTGACACTGTGCATCTTCTAGCAAGAAAGCAGGAAACATTAAAACTACAGAGACCCTACTCATGGCTTTAGAACAAACACCAACCAGGACCCAATGGTTTCAAGAAGAAAGAAAAGAAGAAAACCAACAGGGGAAAGAGTATTTTATTACGGGGCATGAAAATGTAGGAACATATAAAGGAATACATCATGATGTAATATCATTTACCCAGTGAAAAAATAGCCAAAAATCCACAAGCAAACTGGACCGTGTGTGAGATGACTACATATTTAATCTCTAATCACTTCCTTCCCCGTCATCTATTAGTAGCAGCAATTTTAAAGTGACTACCCAGAGCTGTTACAAATAAACATAACATGGCGGGAAACACTGCAAGAATGCTCGTTTACAAATGAACCAGTGCAAACTACTCAAATCTTGAAGAACGCAGCCTTGGGCTCATCTTCAGAGAGTAGGGAATAAGAACCCTGAACATTGTTCACTAAGAAACTAAAACAAACCAAACTGTACTTTCATCAGTGTAAACTAATAATATGTATATTATAAAACATTCTTAACCCATGACTACAGTGATTACACCTGCTAATGTTTGTTCAAGTACTGATACGCAATAAGCATTCAAACTCTCAGCAAAAGGACCATGAGACTGGATAAGCCCAGACAATGCTTCTTCTGAAGTAACAAGGGCCACATCAACAGGAGGCAGGTGACCCTTAGAATACTGTGGTTGGTTTTGTTTTGTTGTTTTTGTCTATAAAGGATTTTTCATAGTGTATGTGCATATATATGTGTGTGTGTGTGTGTGTGTGTGTGTGTGTGTGTATGCACACATATATCTGAAAGGGCCCATGAAATATCTTACAACAGCTAATTAAGAAGTTATTTCTATAAAATGAGTCAAAAATACCAAAATGAACATTCTAAAACTCAACTTTATGGTAATGACGCTGATGACACTGATGATGCTGATGGTGACAATGGTGACGATGGTGATGGTGACCATGATAAGGCAAAATATGCTTTCTTTGGCAAGAAGTTGTTAATTCCTTACCAAATATTGGTTTGTGGGCTTTGTAGAAACCATAAGAACGCTTTGGTTACTCACCAAAGAGCTACTTAATGGGCAGAGAGTTCATAAACATTTTACCATGCATAACAGTAGTGGAAAGCTATGGCAAGATCATGTTGACATCAGCATTGCTTGTTGGATTACCATTATTAAAAACTCTTCCTTCAGAAAGCTCCTTTCTAATCTTGGCCTGAGTCTCAGGCTTAAACAAAAGTTCTTTGATCTGTTTCACTTTGGACTTCAGCACCATCCTTTCTCGGTACAAAGCTTCATTAATTAAGTCTTGGGTTCCAATTGATTTCTTGCCTAAGGGAGAAAATTATATAATACATTTAAAGTACAAATATCAATGAAGTATATTAAGTATGGCACATTGACTTATCAAAATAAGGCTTAAAAACCTTTAAAACATTACCCACATTTCATAGAAAAGATTGCATTTTGCCAAAAATATATAATTTACATGAAACTTAATTTACTGTAAATAAAGATCACTGTGTGGTAACAAACAGCACATGGGGAACAAACAGCAAACATTGTCGACTCACTATACTCATGGTCATTTCAACAGTGACAAACTGAACTTAGCACTTGATAGCTGTGTGCAAGTTTTGGCCTCAGATAAAGTAGTCAAAGGATCGAAGCAATGTAAACGGCAGCATTCCGTAGGTGGCAAGTCCTCTCCATCCGCCTTTTGAGTCGGGCAGGCAGTCTGAAGTGCCTACTCTCCCTTGTGCGTGGTTGACGGCACGTGGACTTGTGTTGTTCTTCTGTAAATTAATTTCTTCTGCAGGTCCCAGCACCCCATTCTTTTCTGTTGTGTCGCAGCAACACCGAACACATCAATCATAAAAGTATTAGGTGATCTCCAGGGCTTGAACAAGACACTCCGCTAGCACATTGCAGTCAGTCTGAGACTTAGAGGGGCAGCAGACCGGATTCAGCTCTCACTTCCGGTTGTTATCACTGGCATCACCATTCCGATCTCCCTCCTCAGTTTTGGTGGAGTTCCCCTCCCCCGGCTGCTTTTTGTTCTGCGTCTCGTCTAGGTACTGCTGGACAGCCTTGAGCACAGCGTTCTCCACCAGCCTCTTACTGAGCCTGACCAGTTCAGCATCCTCAGGCTCCCTTCGGTCCTTCTCACCTATATTCCACAAGAGAAGAGAGGTCACTGAGCTCGTATTGCCATAGCAACTAGGCCACCAGGGCCCTGCTAGTTCAGCTAGTTAAAAGAGCAAGTGTCCTTCACTCTGGCAAATGGGATCTATAATTCCAACAAGAATGGGTTGCTTTTTCCTATGACATTTGTCCAAGCAGGAGCCTGTCTATTCCTGTAAACTTTGGGCTGCAAAGCAGCCTGACACACCCTGGCAGGCGCAGCCTTTCATTTCTACACGGCTCTGTGCTCCTCTCTCACCCAAGGCTAATGACAGCAGTGGAGCTGCATGTCCCCACACCTGGGGTCTCGAGCACATGAATTTACCAAGGAGATCTGGACCTGCTGCTCCAGTGCTAACTATCAGGAGATCACGATTGCCCCAGTTATCTTACAGGTTAGAATCACTCACGTGAAAACGCTTGGCATAGAGATCCGTTGTTGATAAACTCCCAGCGCTCACACCAAGACACACGTAGTCATCATGGCCAGTAGCAACTGGTCTAAAATAGGACTGCAGGGCTAGCATCCCATTTTTATTTGTTTTGTTTGTTTGTTTGTTTTTGTTTTGGTTTGGTGTGTGTGTGTGTGTGTGTGTGTGTTTGGTTTTTTGTTGTTTTGTTTTGTTTTGTTTGAGACAGGGTTCCTCTGTGTAGCCCTGGCTGTCCTGGAACTCACTCTGTAGACCAGGCTGGCCTCGAACTTAGAAATCCGTCTTCCTCTGCCTCCCAAGTGCTGGGATTAAAAGCCTGCGCCACCACTGCCTGGTTGTTTGTTTGTTTGTTTGTGTTTGTTTTTGTTTTTATAAATTTTTTTAGCATCCCGTTTTAAAAATCTCATTGCTATCACTGTAATTCTAGAAACAGGAAATTCTCCTAGGAAGGGTTAAGATCCTGGAGGGAACTTCCCGGAAGTCACTGCCTAGTTCCATCCCACTGGTGAAGACCCAGGTGTCAGTATGTAAAGGATTCGCTTTACTGCTGTGACTAGGAGCCACGCCTCCTCCCGCATCCTTATGTTCTCCATCACCATCTACACTCCAAATCCTCTCTATCCCCGGGAAAGGCAAAAGGGATCTTGCACCATGTCCAGTCAGCACCCTCAGTCCTTCCACTGAGCTGTAGGCTGGACGGCAGATGGATGGAAGTGAAGAAGAAGGTAATTACCTACCTACCCTAATATGAGCTCACTGTGGGACAAGCCAGGGGCTCATGAGGACCAAGCCAATGCTTAGGACTGGGGCAGGATACCATGGGTGTGGTTAGGAACATAGATGTTATTTTCTATCCTCATATATAAAGGGCTAGGAGAGCAAAAGGTGTGCCCATGACCATACCTGGACCCTGACCGCCTTCAGAGCCCTGTTGTCTACAGCACACATGCAGATTAGCCACCCCCCATCTCCCAGGGACAATCATCACAAATGAAAGGCAGGATGGGTTAAGACCAAGCTAGAGAGATGCCTTAGCAACCGCTTCCCCCTCAGATGTGGCAATATGGCGAATACCATGATCAGAAGTTTAAGCACATGTGCACGGAAAACATGTTCAGAATTGAGTAAACTTTGACTCAGGGATAATTACAGAGAACCTACTAAACAGATACTGTGAAAAGCAAGAAAAAAATTGTTACTAATATAACCTTAGGCAAAAGTTCAGATTTTTCCTAGTAAGAATGCATGGAAATGTTAACTTGCTCTCAATCTTATATTATAATATTTACCCCATATAGATGACATTTCTATATGCATTACAAGCAACTATTTGTGCAGTGGCTCTTCAAATTTAAAACAAAATGAGATGTAAATGAAGGGGTGCTATTTAAGGACCTTTCAAAACATGACTTTTAAAATGACTTTCTAAATATCCTACCTAGGCTCAATACCCAGGCCAGAGATTATAATTTTGTGGACTGTTCTAGAGCTCCAGCCTGCTTTCTCAATGGGTAAGAGAACAAGGTTGAACTTACGCTTCATTAATAACTCATTCTCCAAAATCCCTCCCAGTTCTAATATCATGTACCTTGTTATTTCCAACAATGAAGTGTCCTTGTGACTTTAAACATTAAGATTAATTGTGACTTTAAACATTAAGAAATACCTAGGGATTCTGGTTCTATTATATGTCCATACTCAGGATGCAAGTTCAAGGCTAGTGTGGGCTACAGAGGGGTGCTGATCAACCCCTTTCCTAAAGAGAGGCTGAAATATAAAAGCTTCCCACAAATGGTCATTTCCATTCTCGTTGCCCTGTTTTTGTTCATAACTTTACTTCATTGCAGAACCCTGTTGCTATGTGCTACATATCTCCCCCGTCTTTGAGACACCCAACAAAATGCCTCCAGATTCCCTCTTCTAAAGCGTCCCTGTCAGACCAGGCATGGCAGTGCACCTCTAATCACAGTGCCTACAAAGCAGAGGCAGGTGGCAGACCTCTGTGAATCTGAGGCCAGCCTGATCTACAGATCAAGACCTCTGTGAATCTGAGGCCAGCCTGATCTACAGATCAAGCTCTCTGTGAATCAGAGGCCAGCCTGATCTACAGATCAAGATCTCTGTGAATCTGAGGCCAGCCTGATCTACAGATCAAGCTCTCTGTGAATCTGAGGCCAGCCTGATCTACAGATCAAGATCTCTGTGAATCTGAGGCCAGCCTGATCTACAGATCAAGCTCTCTGTGAATCTGAGGCCAGCCTGATCTACAGATCAAGCTGCAGGTCAAACAAGGCTACATAGTGAGACCTTGTCTCAAAAGAAAAAAAAAAGCAAACAAACAAAACACATTCACTTTGTTAATTAAAAGATCAGATAAAATATCCCTTCCACTCTCCACTTCCCAGAGAAGCAAGTTCACATTTCAGGAGAGTTCCTGAGATTTGCCCAAACAGTCACTATTGTCTCTCGTCTGGTTTGAATTCCAACATCCTTAGAAGTTTCCAGACCATTCCCTATTAATAAATGGCCCCACCCTTTCCCTTTCCATTAAAATTGTACCTACTCCATGAAACTTTCCTTGCTTTGCTCAGTGGGAAGGGCACGTGTATGTGCTCATCGGGCCATTCTGTCACTTATGCACGAATGTGTCCTAAGGGTTTACTATGTGCCTATAGAAATACAGTCCATTTACTATATACCTATAGAAGTACAGTCTAAGTGATTACTATACACCTATAGAAATACAGTCTAAGTGTTTGCTATATACCTATAGAAATAGTCTAAATGTTTACTATACACCTATAGAAATACAGTCTAAGTGTTTACTATACACCTATAGAAATAAGCTAAATGTTTACTATACACCTATAGAAATACAGTCTAAGTGTTTACTATACACCTATAGAAATAGTCTAAATGTTTACTATACACCTACAGAAATACAGTCTAAGGAGTTATTGTATGCCTATAGAAATACAGTCTGTTTACTATATGCCTATAGAAATACAGTCTAAGTGTTTACCATATGCCTATAGAAATAGAGTCTATAATCTCTCAGTCTATAGAAATACCACAGAGACTAAACCAAGATTCTCCTGGCTTTTTTTTCATTCTTTTATAAATGATGGGCATTCTTTATTAATTCACAAAGGCATAGTCTAGTGCCTGGGAACATGGTTCAGTCAGGAATATGCCTGCAAGCAAGCATGGGACCTGCACTTGGGTCCACCAGCAAACACATAAAAATCTGGGTACAACAGTGCGTATCTGCAATACTGGCACTGGGGAGGCAGGAAGAGGGTGTCAGGGGAAGAACTCTGGAGCTCACTGGCCAACTGTTCTAACTGGTAAACTCCAGATTCATTGAGAAAGCCTGTCTGAAAACATAAGGCGGAGTGTGATCAAGGAAACAGCTCCATCTACGTCTGGCCTCTGTGTGCATGCACACACATGTGCACATACACTTGCATGTAAGAACACATGCATCCACTCACATGTACATATACCCACACACAAACACAGGCTTGAGGACAGAAACTATAACCTATCTCTCTTACTTTCCTCTCTGCTGACATATGGCACAGTTTATTCATTACAATGCTCAATATTTTTTTTTGTCTAGTGAATTTTTTGCTGAAATCCTTGGAAGCAGTAGCAGCAGTCTTGAATGTTATTATCATCCTATATAAATAGTACACCATGGCCAGAAATTTAAATGTAAAATTAAATCTAAAATAAGAGCACAGAATTTCAAAATAATTCAGATGCCTATGTGAAAATTTTACATCTACTTTAACTGATGAACCTGATTGGTAAGACAAAATATTTCTTTGAATCATAAATTAACAATCCACAATAAGTAGTTATTTCACCAACCAATCAAAAATAAGCAAATTAACATCTTCCAGATCTGACCTGGACTCCAGCTTCCCCCATAAATTCTGCAAACCCATTCAGGCTATTAATATTATCCCACAGCAAACTGGGTGTGGTGACACAGGACTATTCTAACACCACGAGGTTCAGTCAGGAGGATGAGAAGTATGAGCTCATTGCTGGCCAGCCTAGGCTACATGAGACCCTGTAAATATGTTTATACATGTGTGTATGCACACACATGTGCATCTAGGGAAGACCCATCACAGAGATCTGTAAAAAACTGCAATAGTCCAAGAAACCAGAATCTTCATTCCAGGGAGAACCTATCTTCTAGTTTTCAGTAGAGTTGGTGCAACTTACAGAGATGTTTTCAGATTAAAGTTATGATGTAATCCCCTCTGCTTAACAACTGCATAGGGACAGCAGTCTCTCATGCTGACCGCGGAGATAAAGGGCATTCATTCCCCAGATGCTTCCTTCATGACAGCAGCTCAGCACAGTATGCCAATATACACAACTCTCTTTTGATTCTAACAAGATAATTAAATAAAGAAACAAAAATATTCCTAATAAAAGCATCAAACACTCGATCTAATTTCTTGGTTTATGTGGTGTACTGACTCTCATACTTATTAAAGAGACTAGCTTTTGCCTTTGATACTGTATTTGAGAAATC